AAATGGTGCATCACACAAGTGAAGTTTTTGGAGTAGTAGATGTATGGCCTGTTGGACCATGTACGAAAAAGGGGTGCTTTATTCGTTAGTATTATCCATTACTGGTGTTATTTGTCTTTCCATTGTGATAAACAATGAGTCTGTATTGATAGAAAAAGATATCATTAGAAAGTTGATTTAGGCCTAACTCAACTTTATAAAATAGTTTGTAAGGTGAGTTTTACATCCAGTTATATATTATTATTTGGTTATTTTTATAGTCAATGTGGAATCTGCAAGATACAATAGAACTTCAGTGAGAGTTATACAATTTCAGGCATGGTACTTTGACAGTCACAGAGTATTTTACTGAGTTGAAATCAATGTGGGAAGAGTTGGGCATTATAGATCAATTCCTCGGTGTGTAAGCCCAACAACCTGTTAGCTATGAGAAATGCTAGATCATATAGGCAGCACGATTATGTTATGCGGTTTTTTTATGGGTTTGAATGTCTTTGAGTGGAGTTAGATCACAGATCCTGCTCATGGATCCACTCCCAACTCTTAATCACACCTTTTTAATGATATTACAACAAGAGCAGCAGAGTGAGCAAGAAGTATTAGATGAATATAGATCAATATCATATTTCTATCATATCAGCTTTATTGTTTTTATTATTTCTCCTCTGTTACTTTGAGATATTGCATTTTTAAAGCCACAACTAACACTGAGACCACTTTCACTGTATTTGATGTTTCCTTTTCAGGGGCAACAACCTGGTTTTCTATACACACACATAATATGACTGTGAAGTGACATTAGGATTTAACATAACAATAAATATGTTTTATTAAAACCACCATTTGCAGTATATTAAAAGTTAAATAGCCTGCCTGTTTTCTTTTCTCTTTATTTTTCATAAAAAACAAAATCTAACTAATAGGGTATTTTAAACGTACAGGTTTTACATGTTTTCCATACTAAGCCCTCACTTTGGAAAAAAACTCTAGTCATTTCTTCTTGCCAAGTGAAGGAGAGATCTAGTTACGTAGTGCAGGCGGGGTTTTGTGCATAACGTTGCATGCTTCATAAGATACTTAGAATCATCAGCAACACTTGTTCGTCAATTAATTACACTAAACATTGTAATGCTTACATTCCTGAACATTTCTACTTGTCATGGCCACAATCTGCAGCCTCACACTACACGTTTGGACCATAAGACACTGAAGCTTCTCAAAAACTGGACTTGGCAATTTGTTGTGATACGTCCGGTGTGCTCAATCCTGATGATAACACTGCAGTATTTTGATGTTTATCCCAGTTGGGTCAGCTGGGCAAACACAATCATCCTAAACATTTCAGTGTCACTTGCACTCTATTCTCTTGTTGTTTTCTACCACGTGTTTTCTAAAGAGTTGGAACCGCATAAGCCTCTTGCCAAGTTTTTGTGCATAAAAGGAATTGTCTTTTTCTGCTTTTGGCAGGTATGCTCCTATGCCTTAGCTTGATATTTTGAACCATGATGGATAAACAATTATATAAGATTTTGCTTCTGTAGAATTTAGATTGTTCTATTAAAATTCATATCCTTTTTTAAGATGAAATGCTTTATCTGGTTTGGAATTTCTAATTTATCATCACTGCTAGTCTTCCGTCTCTGCACATCAATCTTAGTTAACTAATTGATTCTAGATTATAGGCCTGTTTAGGTAAATCACTTGCTTATTGGTAGAAGAACTTATAAAAAATTTCTAACCAAAGAGGAAATAAATTCAATTGTTTTCATACAAGTTGTAAGTCATTTTCATGAACTATCCAAAAACGTTTATTTGAAATAAGCTGAAAACAGCTTATACACTTAGCATATGCTGTTATATTGAGGACTAGCAATAAATAAATCCAAATAAACAATAAATAAGTTCTTCCAGACACACCCTATGTATATTGAGGACTAGCAAATTACTCTTAAACTTATTCAGGATTCTGAACTATACGCACGAAGAATCCTGGAAATATGGCATCTCTGTGTTATATATACAAAATTGTGATGGTTTAGTGCAGATGATATATTAAGTTAACTGCTAATTTCATTCAATTATGCAGGGAATTGTGCTTGATCTCCTGGCAGCATTGGGAATAATCCGATCCCGTCACTCCTGGTTAACTGTGGAACGCATTGAAGAAGGCTACCAAAACATTTTGGTTTGTATTGAGATGGTTTTCTTCTCTATATATCAGCAATATGCGTATACAGCTGCACCATACAAGGCTTATAACGAAAGTAATGTAGCTTTAGATAAAAAGTCAAAGTGATTCCAGGACAAGGATTGTTGAGTACTTTTAAATTCAATGTATTTACTTTCTATATCAGTGCTGATCCTCACTTGTGCGTGAGACAATAAGTAAATAAATGTGCAAGAAATGCCAAAGTCTTTTGAATAAGATGCAGATACATTGACACTACTTCTAAAGATCTAGAAAGTTTTGTTCCACACATTTCTGCTTTCATTGTGTCTGTGTTAATTCGTTGCATACCTTGTTATTTTTGTTGATCTAAACTCCAATAGAAACCCTTGAGTTACAAGCTATTTACTATTACATATACTACTATAGCCATTTTTTCATGTGCTTCATAACCTCTTTCATCTTGCAATTGCAAAGAAAGTATGTGTAAGGAATTGATTGAATATTAAGGAAAGTATAGGGCCATAAAATCACGGACTCAATTTATCATTCCTTTTCTTTGCCAAGGATTTCAGTCTGTGGGGTATTAATTTTAGATATAACCAATCTCCAAGTGTGCGATATGTTGATCAACAAACTTTTTCATCTTATTTTGTGCTTTCAAAAGGTACGTCTTCAAGTAGTGGAGAACATCGTCTCTTACATGTGTTAGTATGTTTGTTTACTTCTACTGCTAAAGGTACTGTGGTACCCTTTTGGAGATGAGGTGGGTCACATCCATATAAGGCCTTGAATGGTGTCAATTTAGTGGAGCTGTTATAATTGGTGTTGAAGCAAAATTCAGCCCAGCTTAGCCATTAAGGCCACACTTTTGGTTTGCTTCCTGTCAAAAACCTTAGATAAAAATCATTTTATTTACAATTTTAGTTTACCCTTGTCATGAGCGTACTTATTGAGTCCCACAACCACCATTATTATTTTATGGTATCCTTCCCACGTGTCTTTGTAAGACCTTCCACAAAATCTTTTGATATGTCAGACCAAACATCTGTGACTTCTGGCTGCGGCTGCAACACAGCGGCTGGGTATAAATTTTGATATTTATTCTGTTGGAAAACCTCACACGCTTCAACATACTGCTGAATATCTTCCGCATACATTCTCAATATACAAAGGTCGAAATTCTCTTTACATCTTGAAAAATCCTCAGTGGCCTCCAACTGCTGAATTTTGAAATTAAGACAAAATCGTGACGGAACAACGAAACGAAAAAGTCTAGTTTGAAAAAGAGATTTTGGAGTCATCATCATAGTTTATTCGAAAAAACTACACAAAAACCATAAAACAAGACATGGTTTAAGAAAACCAAATTGTGGATTCGGGAGTCAGTTACATGTAAGGAATGTATTAATACCTACCGAGGCCTGAAGACAGTATCTTTAATTAAATATGTGAAGTTGATGTGGTTTTAATTATCCCAAAAATGGCACTCTAAAGAAATAAAAGATATTTTTTTTAGCTTTTTTGGCTTGAGAATGCTTGATCTTCCTCTTACTTATTTTCATCCAAAATAATCAATCACAATTAGATAGTTTTTTAAAAATGATTTGGATTTCTGAAAATGATTTTCGAAAATGATTTGGATTTTTGGGAAGTGAACCCGACAATGATTGACCTTACTTCTACGTATTCTCATTCACAGTGAAAAATTAGGGATCACATAGTTCTGGTTAGAAGATTGTTTGTTTGTTTGAAAATGTATATGTTTTTACTTTTTGAAGATTTTATATTTTTTTTGTATTTTTGACATGGTTGAGAAAAAAAAAGAAGGTAATGAGTACTAGACCGACGCCGATGGACACACGAGTATTCGTACCTTTAGAAATATATTTTAATTTCTTTATAAACAAAAAAGGTATATAGCACTACGACAACACGAGCGGTTATACAAGTACTCGTACCTTTAAAACATATGTTCAAGAAAAGAAAGATATTAAGTACTAGAACGACGCGGACGGTCACATGAGTATTTTTATCTTTAAGACTTTATTTATATATTTCGAAAAATGTAGTAAGCACTAGGACGATAATCACACGAGTATTCAGCTTTTAAAACATATGTTAATTATTTAAGAAAAAAAATATTAAGTACTAAAACGACGTCCACGGTCACACGAGTGTTTATATCTTTAAAACTTTATTTAGTTATTTCAAAAAAAGAAGGATATTAAACAAACAATTCAGGCAATCACAACTACTCGACCTTCTCAAATGCAAGAAATCATCTTCTTGTTCTTTTTCTTTATTTTGTAATTTTATTATTTTTATATTATATTTTTAAAAAGTGAGTGTTTAAGATAAAATACTATAAATGATCGAAAATAGAAAACAAATTAACAAGGTGCAAATAAAATAAGAGCAAGCCTAAATAAAAAGAAAGAAATAAGAAATAAAATAAAGATTAGGAGTGTGAAGTTTAGAAAATATGGGGGTGCATGAACTGAAAATAAAACAGGCCCAAGAACTGAAAATAAACCAATGTTTTTACAAATTCCTTTAGTTGATTAAATATTTAATTAAATAAAAGATTCCCCGGTTGTTATCTTAATATGGCAATAGTTAGCCAAACCAATAGAATAATGTTTCATAACAAATACATAGTTCAGATTTCATAATCTCACCAATTCGTCCAGTTTTAAACACATAACTATGCCCTCAACTTCTATGTTAATACAATGAAATAAACAAAAGTAAGTGGGGTTTGTAAATTGTTGTAAATTCTTTGAAAAACCGATGTTATAGGACACGTTACATACAGGACATTGAAAAATAGATCTTAAACTGCATGTTATATGATGATATCAATACTATGGGGAAGGACATGTTATAAGACCTAGGAGATTTGGTAACCTCAAGTGGTGACTGATAGGATACACAACGAGTCACAGTACTCAGACTCGAACGGTGAAACCCCAAGCAAGATAGTTATTATCCCTTCCCATCTAACATTGTGAGAGGGGAGAGAAGAAAACCAAAGCACATATCATGTTACACTATCTTAATTATATGTAGAATCTCTGGTGTATGTTATGTAAATTCCATTCTATAAACGAGATCGGATGAATACTCTCCTTCCCTTGCCCTGCACGAGATTGATTTCCTTCAAGCCATCATCCGATTTGTTTGGAATCTGTGACTGATCAGCACGTTTGGCTGATGTTTTGTACTGCTGCTTTATGCTGTTCATGTCTTCCTTCACTTCCTCCGTTTTTGTCTCATAATGTAGGTCATTTGTAACCGTTAAGTCAAGATGTTTCTTGGTATTTACAGGGGTTGGCAAGGGTATGTTAATCAATCCTTCTGGCACCATCTTATCAACCTGCTTCCTACCTGTAACAAATACAGTAATGATATTTGCATATGTACGTCAGTAGAGACATTTTTTTCACACAAATACTAAACCAAAAACGATGTAACTGAAGGAACTAATTTTCCATTTAACATTGATAATGTATATAGTCAATGTAGCAGGAATATCTCAAGTATAAGACAAACTTGCAAGAATTTTCTCAACCTTCAAGCATTAAATGAAGAACAAGAAATTAGAAACGGATGCAATTTTGAGAACTAAAAAAAATTAAAAAGGATCATTGTGATTCAAGAGCTCATTGAGTGAGTAAATTCCCCTTAATTCTTAGTAAAGTCATAAGGAGTGAAGTTTTCTTGGTTTTAGGTAAGTATATCCTCAAGCTGATGGTTAAAAATTGATTCTCAGTGTAAAAATCATCGATGTGAGTTTTGCCTCTTCCAAAAAAGCATTTTCATACACGTGACAGACAGAAAACCAAACTCTTCACCAAATGTTTAAAGCACTCAGTTATCTCTAAAATCAAAGGAGGTGATGTGAGAAATCGCAAATGATTTGAATTTAACTCCCCAGAAATAACAGCTGAGTATCAAGGATATGATTCTTACAAAATGAGAAGTACCCTTTAGAGGATACAATACTCTTATATCTATTAATGTCAATGGTTAAATCGTGATAAAATTAAGAACACAAAAAAAAAAGAAAAAAAAAATTCCAGTTAGATTTAATATCAACCATTACTTTATCCTTTTTCACTCTCCTCGCTTAAGAAAAACTAATTCCAGTTAATAAAGTCACAAGTCAATGGCTATCCTATGACATAGAATCAAGAATATGGATGACAAGTAATACCAGACTAATTGACAAATTCATAATCAAACAGAGGACAAGATACTCCCAATTCTGAAGTTGCTCCACAGAAATGTTTAATGACTCACTTTTCACATATACATTCACTTCAATTCTTAAAACATATTAAATGAGTGTTATTTAAAATTCTTTATTTAGGTAAAATAATATCAATACCAATACCTCGTTTTCCACTCTCCTCCACAATTTTTAGATGCACTTTTTGAAAGCACAAATACAACATGAAATAAGCATAGACGTAAAAGCAAGAGCATACAAACCTAAAATAGAAGTATAAACCAAAATAAATTACCCAACATTAGTAATTCATGGTTGAGCACTCAGTCGATCAAAAACTCAAACTAATTACAGAAATAATTTAATTCCTTTACACAAATTAATTCAACTGTGATTAAGTATTTCCTTCCTTTTACAGTTGAGTGTGAAGATGTTTTGATAAAAAACAAGACTATTAATTTATTTCCCTAAATTTATCCCAAATCAAACACTAAAGGTTGGATTCCGATAGAAAAGAAGTGCAACAACCCGTTTCAGAGATTCTATATGAAGAGTTAGACAAACAGTTAGTGATGAGAGTGAAATGAAAACAAAAGTTTGAAATAGGCAGAAGAAATGACCTGGTATGATTTTGCGAGAGCCATCTATGGCAGAACCCACGGCAAACTTGACGAGATCCACCAGTATTTGGCTAAGCGTATGGCGTCGGGCCATATCAGTGACGGCGGCGACCATGTTCTCCGGTGGTAGTGTTCGATTCCGATGATAATCTTCTTTGGGGATTAAGGAAGTGTATGTGGTTGTGTTGTAATGGAGGAGCTTTCAATGTTATTTAGTTTAGATGTTATTTATAACATCAGATATTTGTAACCAAAGAGCCAAATCAAATTTATATTCTCTTGCTCTCAACTAAATGAAATGAAATTAATTTATGCTAATTAAGAAATTTAATTATAATTATCAGTTATATATTAATGTTAGGTTTAATTATATTTTAACTTTCTGATAAAATTAGAAACTTTTAATTAAGTTCTTAATAATTTTTTTGAAATATTTAATACTAAATAAATTTATATTATTCAATTAATATTTTGTTGTTTACTTTTTCTATTAACTGTTGATACCATTATAAAGTGATGTAATTAGTATGTTGTTATGTTATTTTGTTAATTTATTGTCATATGTTATTTTAATATTTTATTATGAAATTATAAAATTATAAAAGTAAAAAATATAAAATTATAAAATTGTATAATTATATAGTTCTAAAATTATAGAATTATAAAATTATAAAATTATAAAATTACAAAAATGATATAATCATATAATTATTAAATCATAAAATTATAATTATAAAATCATTCTAACTTTTAAACTAATCATCGAAATAGTTTGAGATGGTATAAGGACCATATTATTCGTTATATAAATTGTACTACTCTAATAAATTTAAATCTTGAAAACTCCTTTTTTTTTTTTAGGTTTAATAATTTAGGATGTTCGTTTTTTTGTCAGAATTTTAATTTGGTCATGTTTTTCTTCGGCATCTCAATTGGGTTCTATTTTTTGTAAAAATTATAACAATTGGGCTCATGCCGTTAAATTGAGCCCAACAACGTTACTCTATGGTTGACGTGGCACACTGAATGATGTGGATTTGGGTAGTTTTAAAATTAAAAACTTGGTAAAATCTGGGATAAAAGTTGAAGGGAGATAACGTGGTATAAATCCCTACTTGAATCCCTAATAAAAGGGTATATTTTCGTTCAGCTTGTTGTTCTTCTTCGAAGGTCGATAACTTCGTTGTGCTTGAAGATGACCCATCCCTATTCGTCTTCGTCATGCACTGGGTGGCGAAAGCAAGACGATAATGTGGTCTGTGGTGGTGGTCGAGGAAGATCTAGCAGTGATTGTGTTACTCCGTTTTGCTATTGTGGGATGAAATGTGTTGTCAGAACTGCGAGAACAGCTAAGAACAGAGGCAAGCAATTATGGGGCTACCCTAAGATCAAGGTAACGTATTTTCGTTGTTGTTTTTTTGAGTTGGAGGTTGCCCTAATTGGTGTTTTTTTTGTCACAGAATGGTGGTGAAGATGGTGGTTGCAATTACTTCAGATGGTGTGTTGATGATGGGGTTGTGGAAAGGGAAAGGAGTGTATAGTGTGAAGGCAAGACTGAGTCTTTCTTGAATAGAGAAGCAATGAAAGGTGGATGGAAGATTATAAGTGATTCGGACAAATCAGTGAAGAAATTGGAAAATAGGCTTAACGTGTTCTTAAGGGTTGTTTATGTTCTTTGTGTGGTGAACATTACTGTAGTTACATTAGTGTTCTTTCGTTCATAGGAGTGTTTTCATTGTAATTATGATGGAATGTACTTAGGATGCAATGAACCAAAGTTATTTTGAGTTGAAAAGTTTGTATTGTTTCTAACTTTTGGTAATGAACAAAGTAATTCAGAATATTGTTTCTAACTTTTGGCCAAAATACTTTTGGTAAAGAACTGTGAAACAACATAACACCATAAAAAACAACCATCATATGACATGAGTTCATAGTGAACTAATAAGCACAAATAAGAATTGGATGACAATCAGTAAAATGAAGCATTTCGTCCAAACAAACTTCAAATTAGATGATTAAAAGTACATGTACAGATTACATAAACTTGATAAAGCATTAAACAATATTGTAAATATCAGCCCTTATAGCATGAAGAAAAATGGTTGGGCAAATATAAAACATACCAAAATAACTATGAAACCAAAATTTGGATGACAAAAGCAGAATCTTCCATGTTATCTACATGTACTGTTAAATGATGTTTTGTAGGCTTAAAGTATTACATAATGTTTTGTAGGCTTAAACTATTACACAAGTGCATTCCTACACTATACTAGGCTTGAGGTTGAGTCTGATGTGCTATTTCAAATTGTTAAGTTGATGGCATCAATGGTTGAGTGGATGGAGTTTGTTCCTCGCAATGCACAAGTTCTGCTTGGATTGCCGATGGGCAACGACTGTTGTTGTGGCCATGTTCCCTACATATGCCACATCTTTTCCGCAACCCAGATTTGGTCATTCGTGAATCATCTTTCCTCATTTCCCATTGCTCTAGTCTTTGTTTCCTCTTTGGTCTTCCAGGCAATACTCTTTTATGTAGAGGGGACACATCAGGATATGGAGTAATGTTCCACATGTTGGCTCCATTTATGGGATATATAATTGATGAATATGTCTCCTTATATGTGAACTTCATGTAGCAAGAATGAATAAATTGTTCTCCATCAATGTTGAGGAACTTCATTGCAGCCAATGAATGACAGTAGGGAATTCCAATGACCATCCAAGTTCTGCATGTGCATGGGTTGACTACGAACTTATCTCCACTGTTAGAGATGTGATGAACTTCAAAAAGTTTGTTGGTTGACCAATTATGGAGAAGAAGACAACAATAATTATGAACCAAAATAACAAATTAACATAACACATAAGTCATTAATGGAATTTACCTAGGAATCCAATTTTTAGTTAACTGAGATTCCTTTCTAAATTTGGATTGGACCTTGGGACAAATGGATCCAGTAAATGATGATATGCTTGACTTGTTCTTGGCCCATCTTTGCATGATGTAAAGTTGTATCTCCTCCAACAAGGTAATTATGGGTTTACTCCTGGTAGTTACGAGGACACTATTGAAGGCCTCACTCATATTATTAACTAAGGTGTCACATTTAGCTGTTGTAGTGAACCTTGATCTTGACCAATACCTACAACAAATAATAAAATAATTATTCACATTATATCAATAACGAATTGTGTTGTAGTTTTGAAGACTAATCTTGGAGGGATGACAATCAAATGCTTAAAAGCATCTTCGTTCAGTGCTCTTATGTTTCTCATCTCCATCTCCCAGGTTTGTGGGTGTGTGGCTATAGTTGCCCTCCACATTAAATACTTGAGGTTTTTGTTAGGAAATTTCTTCCTGATGTTGGCATACAAGTGCCTCACAAAAAATCTTTGCTCAACTCCAGGAAGCAATTCTTGTATTGTTGGAAGTAGACCCTGCAATTTTAATATACAAGTAATTAATAAAGGCAACAAAAACTTCAGGCCCTCAAGTTAAAATATACAAGTAAAATTAATGATGAGTATTACCTTTTGTTGGTCTGATATAAAGGTAAATGAAGAACATAGTTTAGCCCCTCCAAGGTCATCCACCAATAGTTCCAAAAACCACCTCCATGAATCCTTGTTCTCAACTTCAACAACAGCGTACGCAATAGGCAACATCTACTCATTTCCATCTCGGCCCACAGCTGTTAACAACTCACCACCGTACTTACCTTTCAAAAATGCTCCATCTAAACCAATAATTTGTCTGCATGGCAGAAAACTGTCTTTACAGGCCTTTAGACATACATAAAATCTCTTGAAAAGGACTTCACCCCCCACATCCTCAACCTTTACTTTCACTGTTGATCTTGGATTTTTAGCCAGCAACTCATGGGCATAATCATATAACCTTTTATACTGTTCCTTGAAAGAGCCATCAATATGCTTTATTGCAATGTTTTTGGCCCTATAAGTCATACACCTTGATATACCAATGTTCCATTTTCTTTGAATTTTTTCCCTTATATCCACACCCTTAACTGTTGGATTTTTTTTTTACTGTTTTCTGTAACTTCTTGCTCAACCATTTGGCATCAATTAATTTAAGGTTGAACTCCCTGATGCAAGTATGGTTGTCTAGCATAGTTCTCAACTGTCATGTATTGACTGCCTCCATATAACCACAATATAACCTCCATGGGCATTTACCTTTTGCACCCACACACTTGAACCTTAATCTTTTCTTATCCTTTTTAACAAACTTAATATTTCTTCTATTATCCAACACATAACTTTTTATACCATCCAAAATGTCTTTCTTTTCAGCAAAATATGTCCCAACTTCCCACTTCAAGTCAACCATACTTTTAGGCATAACAAATGTTGCAAAAGTCTCATAACCCTCTACATCGTTAACTTTGTCATCATTATATGCTCCACTAACTAATTGTTTAGATTCTCACTCATCATCTAATGAACCTCTGATTCCCACATTTGTCATTCCCACCCTCTACATTAACATCAAACATGTTGTCAGAACTCTCACTGGAACATGGTCCACTAAAGTCATTTGACACACTTTGGTCTTCAACTTCCATATTCCCCTCCCAATCTACATGTATATCATCATCTATATCGCAACCAACATTGACATCAACAAGCCCCTCCAACCACTCACTATTTCCATCACCACCACCACTGTCAAAAGAGGAATTCCAACTTCGCACATCAACATCTTGTTCAACTTCATTCACTTGTTCACTTTCTTCTTCACCATCACCACCAACTTCTTCAACTCCATGCACCTCTTCCTCCATAACAGCCTCAACTTCCACTTTTCCATGAACATCACCCATTTTTTCTAACACACCACCAACTTCTTCAACTCCATGGACCTCTTCCTCCATAACAGCCTCAACTTCCACTTTTCCATGAACATCACCCATTTCTTCTAACACACCACCAACTTCTTCAACTCCATGGACCTCTTCCTCCATAACACCATCAACTTGTTGTTCACCATCAACATCAACCCTCTCTTCAACTTGTCCTTCATCCTTACCAACATATTCCAGCATGTGTATGACTTCGGGTTCAGAAACAGAGTGTATCACAAACACATGCACCTCACCATTCAGCCTAGCTAAATTAACCATATGCATGACAATAGTGTCATCACACAAAGACTCTAATTTATCATCCAACACTGAAGCCCCTCCTACA